AAGATGATTTATTAACGGCTGCTGATGCACTCATTGTCTCCGAGGATACCGTCAGCACAGTGGCCAGTGTTCCTGTAGTCTGATAATATGACATTCAATGACATTATATTTTGTAAATTAAAAGTATATTAATCATGAAACTGCACTGTATAAAAAAAGTAAAATAACAAAAATACCGAACTCCAAGGGAAATTCAAAACAGGAAGTCCTTTATAGAATTGCAAAACCAAAAGCTCAAACACATCAAACGAATGGAGTACAATTGTCATATTTCTGACTTGTGAAGACATTTCCTTAGAAAATGGTGGATTAAACCTTAAATATGCACTGAAATTCAGGCTGCTATTATCTTGAGTAAAACACACCTTAACAAAACTTCTTTTGTTCTATTTATGCTGATTTGGTTTTAATACTGTCGGGTGTTTGTAATTGTGAAGTTTCGAGCAAAATTGATGAAGTTGTCAGGACACGGATTTATAAAGGTTTTTCTAAACTTGTTTCCGAATCCCACATATGAATTTTATGTAAAATTGTACTACTTCATTGTTATAATTTTTTATTAATAAATACTGTTTAAACTTAGATGTTCTGGTGACAAGTGCCACATGCACGGATTACGATACACGTTTTATTATAATATACGTAACATTCCATTAGTTTAAATGTTTTTTATTTTACAGAATAGTTGTCATTATCTTACAATGGAATTTTTATCGTTTAGTTCAAATAAAATAAATAACTTTCATTCCATAACTTTGTAGATATCAAGTTTGTACGTCGATGTATATATACTTTTTCTACATTGGCTAGAGGTATAGGGGAGGGTTGAGATCTCATAAACATGTTTAACCCCGCCGCATTTTTGCGCCTGTCCCAAGTCAGGAGCCTCTAGCCTTTGTCAGTCTTGTATTATTATTTAATTTTAGTTTCTTGTGTACAATTTGGAGTTTAGTATGGCGTTCATTATCACTGAACTAGTATATATATTTGTTTAGGGGCCAGCTGAAGGACGCCTCCGGGTGCGGGAATTTCTCGCTGCATTGAAGACCTGTTGGTGACCTTCTGCTGTTGTCTGTTCTATGGTCGGGTTGTTGTCTCTTTGACACATTCCCCATTTCCATTCTCAATTTTATACCAAACCATTGTCTGGTGTTTTTCTTCTGCCGATAGTGACCCTATTTAATTTGCCTTAAATTTGTTATTATACGGTTTTCTATAAAACGGATGGATTTAGATACATTTATCGATATAAATTATTATAAGGGTTGTATCAATGACTAAACTTCTGTGTCTTGGTATGTATGTTTGTCATTATCTACACTATAAACATGATAAAAATATGTGATTATTTTATTTCAACAACAAATAAATTTCTTAATCGTTATTCAAAAAAACAAACACTTATCAAGTCTAAATGTTTTTTAATAGCTACAATTCATTTTGAAAAAGGAAGGCCGTTTACAGCAAACTAGTTAGGTATCCAACGTAATACATATATCATATACAATAGTATGTCAGTGTCAGAAAAACATCTACTTAGTGAATTAGGCTTAGAAATTGGGCAAGGACGAGGTTAACCGAATACAAATTGATACTTTTTCTGACATTGACTTAATATTGTTTTTATAGTCCAGCTAACAATGATTTACATTTATTATTGAACAATTGTCGAAACCACATCCTGTCCTCTTTTCCTCGAATGTGACATACCAAATTAGACTTATCACTTATCACCGGGTGTGTACTAAAATGAGCAATACGACGGGTGCAACATGTCGAGAAGGATCTGCTGACCGTCTTGGAGCACCTGAGATCACCTCCCGTTTTAAGGGGTTCATGTTGCTCAATCTTTAGTTTTCTATGTTTTGCTTTGTACTGTTACATGTGTTTTGTTCGTTTTTCCTTTTTAACCATGGTGTTGTCACTTTTTTTTCGACTTCTTGGTTTTAATGTCCCTTTTTGGTATCTTTTATATCTCTAGTATAGTTATATTTAGAAATAAACTCGTCTTAAATGAAAATGTTAGTACAAAAATAAAACTCATTTTTCATACCTTAACGAATCTAAAATTGTGAAAAACAGTGACGAGACATGCAAAAGACATTGCAAGAAATATAACCTGAAACTACAAGTGTATTTGGCAGATGAAGACAACAGGAAGTGTTTCCTAGACTGTTTTTGACGTGTTAACACTAAGTCCATTGGATGTGTACTGATTGATATTTTGTCATGAATACATATCTCTATTATTTTCTATTGGCTTTGAACTTGTTTTTAGTAACTGCGAGTACTATCAGATAGGTACGTGTGTCTGTCGTGATTTTGTCAGTTGTTATCTACTAGCTGCAGTATAAAACGAAGGATTTTACAGTATTTGTTTTGTTTTAAATAACACGATTCAATAATTATATATCTTTTTTATCATTTAATAGATATTGTGTACACTGATAGGTTAAATTTTGCTTAACAGATTTATTGATACTGCATTGAACAATTCTTACATTACTTGAATTCATTGATCATTCGTTACTCTCTAAAACAATTTTTTTTACATTTTGGTTCAACCTCATGTTTTAAAACTTAAGGTATAATTTCACTAACTTATCATATGTGAATTCGAGGTGTGAAAAAAGTATTTATCACTTTACTATGTGCATTTGAAATCTTTATGAGTATACAAACTTACAAGCTATAAATATTGAGATTTAGTTTTCTGTTGTCTGTCTGTAGATATATCCACTAGAAAAGCTAAAATATGAGTGACCTTGAACCTAAAGAATATCTGCGGCTCTTCAAATGTTTACTTGATACAGCAACAGTGGTCGTTTGTGCATTCACCCACAACAAACTTCTATCAAGTTATGAAGGAAGTTTCCAGAAATATCTTGAAGACAGAAAACATTTTTTCTATCATCAATGGCAGGGAACACAATCACCCTGTTGTAATTGTCCATCTGATGAATGTACAATTCAAATGTATTGTCCGATGGAAAGTTGGATGTTCAAAATATTTTACATGGAGACCTCCATGGAAGAAATGAGTCACATTGTAAGAGAAGGAGAAAGTAAACAGAAAAAATGTATTCACAAATATGCAGCTTTAAACATTCCAATGGATAATCTGGATATATGTCCATTGAACTACATTTTACAAACGACTTGCATTTTATCCACACAAGAACATTCTGCCTTGGAATTGATCGAGGAAAAAAGAAATACTTTATGCCATGCTTGGTCAGTCAAATGTTTGTCCACGACTCAACTATCAGATATATGGAACGACCTGGAAAGAGCTGTTCTCGGTTTGACGAACCCATATCTAGTGAAAATAATCAAAAATCAAATCAAAGTTATCAAGACATGCGATATTGATATGGAAGAGATAACTGAGTTTACACAGAAGATAAGTAGAATGAATAAGGTAGTTATATACGCTACATTTACACCATAAAAGATCAAAATAGATAACAATAAAAGAGAGGTGAAAGTTACCATTAATGTGTTCTTGGACATTTTAAAGGGTACAAAAACAATAGTACAGCAAACCAACAAATTAAAAAGTCATCTGGAGGTCAATATACGATCTTTTACACTATATTTTTTTTGCTATATGATTACAGTTCTGATATATCTATGTTTTAGTTCATACCATTCAAAATGATTACATTATGAAATTTGACGCTAAATGCCTATACTTTATGATATATAAATTTGTATCAAAAAGCCACCTTCATATTTGAAAGTCGAAAGTTTAGAATAGTGACGTAAAGAAACGGACATATCTCATACGTTATCTAAACGTACATCCACGTATCGAATGTGTAATGAATCAAAATCATCTTTCACTGAATTAATCAAATTTTGGTGAGTATGTTGACTGCATCTATCCGAATGAACTTGAAATAAAGCATGTAAAGGATATCATAGCTAAGTTTGCATCATGTCTTGACTTAGACTCTAGAAATTAACAATGAGTGTCCATTAAGAACTAAACTTAACGACAAATAGATGATTGCACCTCAATTCTAAATGTGAACGTTGATTGCCTGTGAAGTAACTGTTCATCAACATCTCCTTTCGGAGTATATGACTTGCCATTGATCCGACATTCCAGGGTTTGCATTTTCTACCACGTTTTCTTTGAATGAGGGTTACTGCTTACAAAAAGCTATTGAATCAAGGGTTTCAAGTGGTCAAGTTGAATTCGTCCCTTCAAAAGTTCAACGAACGCCATCATGGTTCAGCTGGCCATTATGGAATAACTGTGTCACATATGACCAAAATGTTCCAATTGTTACCACAATCGCGTCATCTTATTCTCAATTGTGACATTACCGAGCGCGAAATAATTACGAATTCATACTTGCTTGAGCAACTTGAGGCATGCCGCATGTAAAACAGGAAGTTCTTACGTTTCCGCAACACCTAGGTTCACACCCAGGTTTTGATTTGGTTTGTGTTGCTCAGTCTTCAGTTTTCTTTATAATGTTTGTTAATGTTGTATGAATTTTTGTCATTTTTATTTTTCGTCGAAGTTTGTTTGTTTTTATTGGACACGCAATTTTCAAATGCATCCTTGGTTTTCTCTCTTTTTTTTCTAAAGTCTATATCTGAAACTAATATTAAGGTCTCATTTCGAGACGCCTCTTTTTATATTGACACTTTGGTCAACATCACATTAATGAATGACATGACTTTTTTTAAATCTTGGAAAGTGAATGCAGTTGTTTTTGTATTGCTTAATTTTCAGACCAAACTATTTTTGTAAGGCATCCCTTCATTTATTTTGATATACAAATGAAGAGATGTGGTATCAACTATCCACTAGAAATCAAAGGACAAGGAAATTATCAGTCTGATACTTTATTATAACTATTAGTCAAGGATAGCAATAATATAACATATCAACCAATATATGAATAAAAGAAAATGGAGGATATTCACTTACGTACGTCAATTATAGATACAGAAACCCAACCTAAACAATAACAAAAGACATTTTTCAACAACACACATTTTTGAAACCCTTATTTTTTCTGAATCTTAAAATCTGTGAATCGATTGAACATAAACTATCAATGAATTGCACATAACCTCAATAAAACGAAATTTAAGATGAGAATTTAAACAACCATGAACGAGGTGATTTTTCTCATGAGTGTCAATTCTAAACATGTGAAATACCAACTTTTCATTTTTGTTTCAAAATTCAAAAATATTATTTAGAATTTTTTCTGGTCTTTCAACTTACATACAGATATTAAATTCAAATACACAATGCAAACAAGGAAACGTATTTTCTATCTTTATGGAGACAAATCTTGTCAAGTACATCAAGGAAATAATTATTAAATCAGCAACTTTACAAGGCGTAATTGTAGACCTTAAAATGTTCAAAAGAAAATGAAAAAAAGTATTTAAACATGTTAAAGTTATACAGAAACAAGTAGATAGATTTATATTAAATGTAATTACTACCGAAATGCGGATTTGTCTACTCTTTAAAACTTTAAATCTGGTTTAATATAACCACCTGTTGTGTCTATAACACTTTAGAATATTTTGATCAAGTACTGTATTTGTTTGTACGTCTATGTTTTGGAGTTACGGTTGTTTGTGGTTGGTGTGATGAGTTATATTTGTTTTTTACGTCTAAGTTTTGGAGTTGCCGGTGTTTTTGGTTGGTGTGATGAGTTGTATTTGTTTATACGTCTAAGTTTTGGAGTTGCGGGTGTTTGAGGCTGGTGTGATGAGTTGTACTTGTTTTTACGTCTATGTTTTGGAGTTGCGGGTGTTTGAGGCTGGTGTGATGAGTTGTACTTGTTTTTACGTCTATGTTTTGGAGTTGCCGGTGTTTGGGGCTGGTATAATGAGTTGTACTTGTTTTTACGTTTATGTTTTGGAGTTGCAGATGTTTGTGGCTGGTGTGATGAGTTGTACTTGTTTTTACGTCTATGTTTTGGAGTTGCAGATGTTTGTGGCTGGTGTGATGAGTTGTACTTGTTTTTACGTCTATGTTTAGGAGTTGCAGATGTTTGTGGCTGGTGTGATGAGTTGTGCTTGTTTTTACGTCTATAATTTGGAGTAGGCGGGATTTTGTGGCTGGTGTGATTAGTTGTACTTGTTTTTACGTTTTATGTTTTGGAGTTGCTGGTGTTTGAGGCTGGTGTGATGAGTTGTATTTGTTTTTACGTCTAAGTTTTGGAGTTGCAGGTGTTTGAGGCTGGGGTGATGAGTTGTACTTGTTTTTACGTCTATGTTTTGGAGTTGCCAGTGTTTGTAGCTGGTGTGATGAGTTGTATTTGTTTTTACGTCTATGTTTTGGAGTTGCCGGTGTTTGTGGCTGGTGTGATGAGTTGTACTTGTTTTTACGTCTATGTTTTGGAGTTGCGGGTGTTTGTGGGTGGTGCGATGAGTTGTATTTGTTTTTACGTCTATGTTTTGGAGTTGCAGATGTTTGTGCCTGGTGTGATGAGTTGTATTTGTTTTTACGTCTATGTTTTGGAGTTGCGGGTGTTTGTGGCTGGTGTGATGAGTTGTACTTGTTTTTACGTCTATGTTTTGGAGTAGGCGGGTGTTTGTGGCTGGTGTGATGAGTTGTACTTTCTGATATGTTTGAGTATCCTGTTTATGCATTGTATCAGTGGCGCTTTTGGAAGGACCAACCAATTACGTAGCTGAAGCTCATCCCCAAAAATTCGGGTTCGGTCGTTTTTTCTTATTGCCGATTGTGACATTTTGACTGAGTGTGGATTAGCATATTGACGCATCCTGTCCAGCTTTTATTATTATTTTTTTCCCTCAATTTTTGTTTGTTATCTTCATTTGTCTTCTCAATCTATTAATGAGATTTGAATATCGGTAAGCCATGTCTGCTTATTTTTCAAAGGGTTATTCAAATTTTCAAAGGTATTTCAACGTTATACAAAACGTAAATTTTCAGCGAATAGATGCATCAATGTTATTCAATCTCATCTCAATAGTTGTTTCTACTAGACTGGTGATAGCGTCGAAAGGAATTTCCACCAGACGTGTCGTCGACACAAGGATTGTACAAAGTCGTCAACGATTCGTATACTTAGCTTTTGATAGTATTACTACATGTATTTACTCGTTTCGCCAAACAAGTAAGATCACCTAGCTCAGAGTAAATAAAGTCGTAGCAAAAAGCAAGTAAGATCTATTTACACTCGAGTTTCAGTTGTTGTAAACATATTTAATCCAGCAGCTGTTAATAAAACCAAGAAAAAATAGATATAAAAGCACTCCTCAGTAAATGTCGCTGCTATATCCAAATAGTATTACATAAACGAAATGATAAATATTGATCATTCTTCAAAATGTTTAAATACGATTGTTTGAAGTTTTGTTTTTTTAATCATGGACATGCAGAAATAAGGATAATGTTTTTTTTTCAAAACGCTGTAAATACCTAATGAAAGCCAATTACAATTGTAACAGGTAATGATAAACTCGTTTCATATATGTACAATTTGTTAATTGTGACGACAAATATTCCTCGTTGAATTATTATTATTAGGTATTAGAATATAGGGAATCATCTTCCGGTAACGAATATGACAACGTTATGGTTACGGGCAATAATATAGGGAATGTTCCTCACCGTGATGATCCTGCTCTCAAGGAAGTAGATAAGACAGTCATGATAGGGATACATGAGTTACCTGCACCAATTAAGGAAGAGCAAAAGAAATGTGAAGGTGATTTTGAAAGGGTGAAATATCAAAATGAATGGTAAAATTGAATTAATCGTAGTATTCTAAACGTAATTTGGCATATCAAAAATAGTGTAAAAAATGCATATATATATTGCCATTAGTGAATCAGGTGTATCAAAGAAATGACCAAATATATAAAAATCTTATTTGAGTTTAAACAATTTCAACGCTTTATAGCGATGGTATAATCATTTCATCAGTATTAAGTTCTTCTGTTCTGACATGATCTATAACATACTTTTGTTAAATTGTCCGTAGATGAAATTGGAAACTATTAAAAAGCGGATGTTCCAACACCCTCAGGACAAAGTTTATCTGAGATTAATTTGGTTAAAGAAATATGTATCTTTTAGTGACATAGCTCCTCACATATTCAAATATTTATACATTTTTGGTTTTCAAATGTTTATAAAGGTACAACGCCGCGCAGTACATTTTTGTATGCTATTTCACTCAAAATGCATGTATAATTTGTCAAAAGGATGTATTATACGTGATATAGTGAATACGACCTCATTCTAATTCATCCTTGTATTTATATAAATCTTATTTTTTGTGTAACCTGATACAATATAGAAATAAAATGTTTTGTTATCTACCTTTTCTCATAGTTGGACACATTGAAACCTATGAATTGTTGTGCATAAGTAAAACAGATAAAACTTAATTGTAGATTCCAATATGAGCAAGCTTGGAGGTATATGATTTACTGAATTATATAGCATGAAAGTTTTAAGAACTTCGATGCAACTTTCAAAACTATCACAATAATTATCGTTTAGCTACTCAAAAATAACATGAATAAACGGATCAAACTTTAAAGAAGAGAGGAGAAAGATACCAAAGGAACAATCAAACTCATTAGTCGAAAATAAACTGACAACCCCATGGCTAAAAAAGAAAAAGACCAACAGACAAACAATAGTACACAAAACACAACATAGAAAACTAAAGACTGAGGAACACGAACCCCAACCAAAAACTGGGGGGTGATCTCTAATGTTCCGGTGGGATAAGCAGATCCTGCTCCACATGTGGCACTCGTCGTATTGCTCATGTTAATACAAACCCTGTATTAAGTCTAATTCGGTAGGTCACCTTCGGGGAGAGGGGGCCGGGATTGTAGTTACGACATTTGGAACATTCAAGAACTAAGACCTTTCTAAGCGGGCTATACGGTATGGGTTTTTCTCATTGTCGAACGCCGTACGGTTGCCTATAATTGCTTACATCCACTTCATTTGAACATTGGTGGACAGTTGTGACATTGGCAATCATACCTCATTTCCTTATTTTTTATAGGCGTACTTTCCATACGATCCTTGTAGCAGGATAAAAAAAAATTGGAAGACTAACAAAATGGATATTTATTTGCAAATTTGAAACAAAATGTCCAACGGAATTGTATAAACACAGTTTCTTTCAAAGTAGAAGTTATTACTTTTAACCCCAAAGTTTCAAAAACATACACCGTTTTTGATTAATTGTGTGAAGATGAATAAGCTTACTTTCCATCTGATGAATTTTGTAAAAATCTCTCAGGTTTATCATAAAGACACTTTTTACACAATTATATATATTTAGTTTTAACTAAATATTCATATGTTACACACAACAATGTAAATATTTGCATCACAAATAACAGGGGACATCCAATATAGCCATCACTAAAGAAAATAATACAGAAAGCAGAACCGAACTTCAATTACATTAATTGGAGCGCTACAATTGACCATTAACATCGTAAAGGGATTAATTTCTAGAGAAACGATCAAGAAATAGCATGTATAACACAATATGTAATGTCAATAAAGAAGAAAGAAGGACGGCGTTGCGGGATGCAAACTTTAACATGAAAAAATTGAAGACAGTCATTTTCATGAATGCTTCAAATGTAGTTAAAGTTTTCAACTCTTACTCACAGTTCAGTGAAAACTTAAGAAAAGCTGCTTGGTGTTTTGAATAGTTCTGTTAAAATATTGATTTTACACCTTTTCCTTTTCAGAAGTAAAACATCTTATTGAAGGTACATGCTCTTCTTCTAATTTGTTATGTCTAACGTGTTCGAACTAAAAATAATCACAAAAGGAAACACATGTCAGTTATCGTTATGTGTTTTAACATGTTTAATATATCTTAATTCTATTTTCAATTAAAAAAACTTCTTTGATAGATGTTAATACCTCACTTTTGTCTTAATACCAGTATGATTTTTTTTAGAAAATATGGAATCATCTTCCGGTAAGGATTATGACAACATAACGGATTGGACCAAACATACAGGGCATATATCTGACCGTGATGATCAAGCTCTCATGGAAGTAAATAAGACAGTCAACAAAGGAACACATGAGATACGTGCACCAGTTAACGAAGATCAAAGGAAATGTGAAGGTGATTTTTAAAAGTTGAAATATCAGAATGAATGGTGAAATTGAATTAACCGCAGTCTTCCAAACGTAGATTGCATAAATATGACATATTAAAAAGACTGCATATATATTGCTTATAATAAATCAGGTGTATCAACGAAATGATCAAACAAATAAAAATCTCATTGTTCCGCAATTTCACTTTATAGCAATTAACTCATTTTATCAGTAGTTAGTGCTTCTGTACTGACATGATCTATAACATACTTTTATAAAATTGTCCGCTGATGAATTTGGGAGCTTTTGAAAAGCAAAATTTTCCAACATCTCAGGCAAAGTTTATGTTAGTGAATTCGGTAAAGGATATTTGCTGCTCTGTTTCAAAATAACAAGCTTTTTAAAAGACTGTTACAAATTGTTTTTGAATAAATAATGACACAAAACAAGCAGAACAAAATGAAGGGTTCGTGACCTTGTTTTCCAGATAAAAAGCCATTGAAAAATTGGAGGGAAATTATTTTCTCTTTTTATCGTTTAAAAACTATGAAAAAAGTGTCATTGTTAAATGCATGAAAAATCTGAATAAAGCCACTCAAAAAGAAGAAAAACAGAAATGGTCAGTGAGCTTGTTTTCCAGATATAAACCATTGAAAAATTAGCGGGAAAAGATTCTCTCTTTTTCTTTCAAAAATACTATGGAAAAAGTCTCAATGTTAAATGTATAAAAAAATCTAGAGAGAACCATTTCCCTTCAAATTTTCAATTGATTATGTCTCAAAAACTAGAACTATCAATTTTTTTTTCTAATTATTAAGTTCCCTTATTCATATTCTATCATTCTATAACAGTCTCTCAAAAACCTTGTTATTTAAAAACAGAGGAGCGAACATCCTTAAACATTTTATTTCCATTTTTGTTAAGTAGAAAATATGGAATTATCTTCCGGTAAAGAGTATGACAACATTACGGATTGGACCAAACATATAGGGAACATATCTGACCGTGATGATCAACCTCCCAGGGAAGTAGATAAGACAGTCAACATAGGAACACATGAGATACGTGCACCAGTTAACGAAGATCAAAGGAAATGTAAAGGTGATTTTTTAAGGTTGAAATATCAAAATAAATGGTAAAATTGAATTAATTGTAGCATTCTTAACGTAGATTGTTCAAATTTGACGTACTAAAAAGACTCTAAAAATGAATATATATTGCCAATAATGAAGTAAGTGCAATCAACGAAATGATCAAACCAAAAACAAACAAAAAAATGTGCAACTTGTACACGATACTTTGCCGCAATTTCATTAATTTATAGTAATGATATCATCAGCTCAGTAGTCAGTGCTTCTGTACTGACATGATTTATAACATACTTTTATTAAATTGTCCGTTGATGAAATGGGAAACTTTTAAAAAGCAGATGTTCCAACACCTAAGGAAAAGTTTGTCTGAAATGAATTCGGTTAAGGTTGTTTGCTACTCTGTTTCAAAATAACAAGCTTTTTAAAAGACTATTACAAATTGATATTATATAAATAATGAAACTTAAAAAGCAGAGGAGCGAACATCCTTAAACATTTTATTCCCATTTTTGTTAAGTAGAAAATATGGAATTATCTTCCGGTAAAGAGTATGACAACATTACGGATTGGACCAGACATATAGGGAATATATCTGACCGTGATGATCAACCTCTCATGAAAGTAGATAAGACAGTCAATATAGGAACACATGAGATACGTGCACCAGTTAACGAAGATCAAAGGAAATGTGAAGGTGATTTTTAAAGGTTTGATGTATCAAAATGAATGGTACAATTGAATTAACCGATTAATCCAAAAAATATCCAATTTGTATATGAGACTTTTCCGCAATTTCATTCATTAATAGCAATAGTATCATCAGCTCAGTAGTCAGTTCTTCTGTTTTGACATGATTTATAACATACTTTTATTAAATTGTCTGTTTATGAAATGGAAAACGTTTAAAAAGCGGATGTTCCAATACCCTTAGGACAAAGTTTATCTGAGATGAATTCGGGTAAACATTTTATGTCCCTTTTTGTCATATATTTTTTCATGTATTCAGATATTTTTACATTCTTGGTTTTCAAATGATTATTTTGGTACAAAGCCACGCGGTGGATATTTGCTTGATATCTCCCTCAAACACATGCATAAATTGTCAATGGATGTAAAATATCCAACAACTAATGAATTTATCATGTTTTTTATTCATCCATGTATTGATAAACATCTTTAAATATTGTTGTGACATGGTACAACATAAACTCAAGTTATGTAATTCTATTGTGATCAGACGTTTATTTTTTTTAAATCTTAGTGATCTGTAAAAATGCTGTAAAAGAATAAAAACTTCATTGTAGATTCCAATATGAGGAAACTTAGAGGTACGTTATTTACTGTTTTATATTACAGAAATATTTATCGAACTTTGATGCAACCTGTCTCACAATACTTAACATTTAGCTATTCATTTTACTGAAGACTAGAAAATTTCAAAAACACTCAAACGGAATTTTCTTTCAGATTAGAATTGACTCCTTTTACATGGTTTTAGTCCAAAACATACACAACATTTGATTAACTGTGTACAGATGACGCAATAATTTTCATAAAAATCTGATGAATTTTGTAAAATCCCTCAGGTTTGTTATAAAAATACGTATGTATTCATATATGTTTAACTTGCAACATAATTTCTTACGTAAGGTCTGCACTACACAAAAATAAAGAGGACATCCGTGCTCTCGTTCATAAAACTTACCTCAGTACACAGAGTACAAAATATGTGCTCGAAACACGAAATCCAGTTTTTGGAATGGTTGAATTCCGAGTCTGAGTACCGTAATCTCACTCGAAATGTTTATACCCGCAAGGCCAGATATAGCCATCACCAAAGAACACTTTACAGAAAACAGAACGGGACTTCAATGAGTACATTGATAAGAGTGCTATAATTTGCCCCATAACATCGTTAGAGGATTTACTCCTAATGGAATGAACAAGAAACAAGCGGATATTACACAATATGTAATGTCGGTAAACAAGAAAAGGGACAGGGTTGGGGAATGCAAATTGTAACATAAAAAGTAAACACAGTCATTGTTTCAAATGAAGTTTCAGTTTTCAAAATTCACTGACCTCCAGGAGAATAGTTCACGCGTACGGAAGGCTGTTCGGGGATTTGAATAATAATACTTGACAACTTTTCAACATTTAACATACAGCTTTTCTTTTTCAGAAGTGAGACATCTAATTGAAGGTAAATGCTCTTATTTTTATTTGTAATGATTTAAGTGTTAGAATAAAAATACCAACACAAGGAAACACATATAAGTTATTGTAACTTACTGTAGTCTATCTTCATACATTTTTCTTTCAGGTACTTGACATATGTGTGTGTGGAAGATCTTTGATAGTCCAAGATTGTTATACCTAACTTTTTATTTATTAGAGCTAGCCATTTGTATAAAGACTCCTCTAGTGTAAACAAATGTATGTTGACCTATAGATATCGGTTTGGTCTTTGGGTTTGGGTTGCTGTAAGTACCCTTTCGGATAAAGGAGGAGGTATAAGACCAATTAATTGTTTGTGTGTGAAACACTTCCGCATCTATTTATTCCATATTTTCCAAAATATGTTAATTTTATTATAAATGTATAGATCTCCAGTGATGTTACAACATCGTCATAAACATGTTGAAATTAAAGTATTTTACCTAAAAGGATAATTTCACAAATAGGTGTTTTACTTAAAATATATATGAGCAAACATTTTACCCAAAAAGATAGCATACACACATTTACATTTTTGTAAACAAATTTTCGTAGCAGAATATTTTCTTTGGTAAAACTGTTCCTGATATCAAAATGTTTATGACAAAATTAGGCTAGTTTGGCTGATTTTTGCTGCTTTGCCCTAACTTTAAGAAGTTGAAAACCTAAATGCCAATATCTAAGTCACAATTAAAAAATAATAAACAATTTAGTACGACAAACTAACGTCTTACCAACATCTGAAAATTGTTGTTCATAATACTTTACGATTTTCGAATTCATGGGTCCAAAAATTGGCCATGTCATAACTTGTTTGTTTAGTTACGAATGGAGATTTTTAAGTCTTAAATTATGGCTGGACTATATATAAGGTCACTGGAACTTGTATGATTTAAGTAAATAATAATTATTTTATTAAATTGCAAAAAAAAGATTTCATTCAAAACATTGACAAAACATCAAAACATAAACCTATTCTGCAACAATAAACAAAAGTCCGTAGGATTTGTCTTATACGGGACAAGTATAAATCAACTATCTATTAAACTGGAAAAATTAGTATTTACATGTATGTCTTGAAAACTAGCTTCGACGATGCGAAGTTATTGAATATTTTCCACACTACAGAACATCTTTGAATAGTAGATTGCGACTATGATTAGTCGGTTGTTACCTTCCATAGAATGTTACAAGACAATATTTCAATATTTCAAATTTGTTAACCAAATTTCCTCCATATCTGCTTTTTTCCTTCTTCTTTAGATTCGATAACAGAACTTTTTCAAAGCTCAGTACCAATAAAAGATGTTGGTATGTATTTCATGTATGACTTCGGTCATTTTATATACATCGAGCCGGGAAACATCTCCTTACTTTTGTTTATATCAAACAGATCTTGCAAATACATCTATCGAGCAAATAGGTGGGTCTGTATCAATGATATGATTAACAGAAACACGTCTTATTTGGAAATTATGGGGGAATGCATCATTTAAATATCAATAAAAAAGTATTAAAAAAATCCGAGCTCCAGGGTTAATTCAAAAAGTGGGAACCTATAAAACCTACAAACACTAAACGCTTAACAACATCAATCAACGGAACAACAGGAAAATAGCTGTCATATTCCTGACTTGGTACAGGTATTTCCCGAAGAAAATGGTGGGTTAAACCTAGTTTGATAGGTATAACAATTCCAATACATTTAGCGAGGATATGATGCATTACTAACTAAACTGTCTTTAAGAACTACTTCTTATTTTAAATTGATTTTAAAAATGTTCTGAAACATCAATCAAAACACATTAAACTGATAATCTGATAACAAAGTAGGTATTGGTCTATATCATTAAGATATGATATTAGGAATCCCTTTAACCAGGATAAGATATTGGTCTATATACCAATATGATATCTCATTACGCCTATCTAGGATGCTACATTTTCTGTACCACTAATGTGATACTGAAAAAATATCTAACATTGATAAGACATTATGAAAAAAAGCATGTGGTGTCAATGATACAACTATCAACCAAAGACCACTAGACGTATATGTAAGTATAAATAGGCCACTGTATGGCCTTCACCATTGTATGTATATGATATTGAAAATACGTCTTACCTTTGTAAATGTGATCATGATTTCATTACTACACCGACCATGGAAAGATGACGGAATATTTTGATTTTAGAAATACACTGGGGACGTCTGGTCTCTCGTTTTAGTCTATTGTCTCATAGAAAAAAGACCTACAGTACAGCTAACATATCACCAGACTGTTGTTACTTGATACAAATGTATTATGTGTATTATAGGTTTACATTCAGAAAGAATCTTCAACCGGGATTATTTTTCAAGAAAGACAATGATGATGAGGAATAAACAATTAGTTATGAAGCCAATAGTCAGTTTCGATATATAATTCTTACACTGCTGTTAATGTATAACAAATGAAGTCCCTAAGTTTGTATTAAATATTCAATTGTCTTGTACCAATGGAAAATGACTTTTCTATTTTTGAATTTGTTTAAAGGACAAAATTGAAGCATATATATCAGTATTCAAGTTCAAATTTGTATATTAAATTGTGCATTAAAATCAATAACGTGTATATACATTGTATCCATGTATGATGCGAAATATGTTTATTTGATACTAATACCATTCGTTGTAACAAAGACGAATTACTTCTTTTCACATTTACAAATAGATCTTTTGATGACATTTGCCTAATCTTCAAAATGTATGTGTATATTGTATCCTACCTTGACACGGAAAATGGTTAAGTACTTATATATAATGTTTTGCAAGTGTTTGAAGGTAATGACAAATTTCTATGGCACAAGAACTAGAATGGTAGGACTACATTCATTTTACTATTGCCAACAATCGCCTAAACCTTTCATTTGTTTCAAAACATAACACCTGCGTGCAGCTGTGGTGAGATTCATTGCTTTTTAAAGGAATTTCTATATAAAATTATAACATGTATAACTAAACACGGGAAATGCACTGAACGGAATACAATGTATTTTCTGATGCACCAAAATTATTACCGTGTTCATGGTATTAAAATTGAACATGTACATCGTATTACGTGAGTGTATGCTGTCGTAAAAGCCCCTCACATCCAGTATAAAAGTAACATCAATTGGCCATTTTATCTGAAGAAAAGAATACGGTAGAGCAAAATGTACAGAATCGTAAATTAATGATAAAATCTATGGCGGAATAGAAATAAAATCAGCCTAAAGCACATATAAATAATATAATGGAAATATTAATTAAAACATCTTTACATAAAATATTGAAAAAAAAAAATCAATTCTTCGTCGAAATAGATTTCTACCCCCACCCCCCATTTTTTTTCCTTTCCCCCAATTGCAACCAATTGATACAACATGCCTACTTGTACTTTTAATATATTAAGACTGTAAGTATTTGAACCATACCTGTGTTGTGTGCCAGTTAGTAAGTATTCATTTAAACCTTTACAATAAAGAAACGTGTTCGTCATTTTTATATTCTACATATGTAAACATAATTATGTTTGCATTAAACATGTAAAATGCATTTGTATTATTATATCTTATTCTGCTTGACCACAAACTTGAATATATATGTATTTCGATGAAACATCTAATATTTACCATACAAAGATAAAAACACTGCCTGTTAAAATTCATGGATTTCATTCTTTTCACAATATACAAATTCCCTAAAATATAGTTGAAACAAAAAATAAAGTAAACTTCTTGGTACAGTTATACATGATCATATACATTCATAACGTTATAACATATTTATCAAATATTTAATAAATGAAATTTGTATTTTTAAGCTCTGGTCGTTAATTTGGCTCACCTAATTAACTTAATTTAATTTGATGACGTTATATTAATATGCAACAATGCGTGTTAACGTTTGCTTTAGTTTTTAATGATATATATGAATAGAAAAAACATGTCTTTCGTTTCGGTCTCTTGAACGAAACTTAGAACCTCTGGTCAACAACATAATAAAGATAAAACGGCATCGTTAAACTTGCTTATACATGTAGCTGATCTTCACAATTGAATGCATTCATTTTGCTTTTGGACGGACGACATCCGCGTAGAAAAACTATCCACCTAAAGTAAAATCAATCACGAAGTCAAAATAATAAGGAATAATATACCCATAATGCAACTTATAAACAAACTTCGAAAACAGACTAGCAACACCATGGCCAACAGATCAGATGATTGCAAGAACTTTTATAAAGAATCTTCATTTTGTCCTGAAGATATAACATATACGATATCAAATGGTTGGTTAGCTTCTTACTCTATCGAAAAAAGTAAAATAACAAAAATATCGAACTCAAGGAAAATTCAAAACGTAAAGTCCCTTATCAAATGGCAAAATCAATAGCTCCAACACATTAAAAGAATAGAAATCACTCTTCCTAAAACTACAATCATAGTAATTCCTTAAAACGTCAAAATTCAATTTTAGTTTTTATCCGTTCTTAAGATACTAGTATACAGCTGATTTGTACGGAGTTTGTCATATTTCTATTTGTTCCCTGTTAATGAATCAAATTGGTTTTGTTCGTCTCGATGGATATGCTAGCTGGGCTGTCTTAAATTGTTAATGAAGAATTTTCATCACCAACATTAAAGCACAGTTGATTCTAAAATTCAATGTACTTGGTTTTTTTCTTTTTAAACGAGTAATGTTTATTTGGATCAAAAGCAGATATTGATTCCGATGAATCCCTCGAATACCACAAATTGAGTCTATTTAGGATTTAGAACCTAACGTTTGGCGAAGTGTTTCTTTGTCTGGCATCACGTCATACATTCTCGTAAGATATCTCTGGGCGTTATCATAATAGATTTTGGTTTGAAAAGAGCATCCTGAACTTTAGCTTTTCAAAATCAAAAAACGCTGATGATAAGTTTGTGCAATCGACAAAATATTTTATTAAGATATAATAAATTTCGACCAAGTAAACTAAATACCATTTGATTAATTAGCGGAACTGTAGCTCTTTAGTCTTTATGATATTTTTTTGACAATTTGCAAACCATAGAGGTACCGATTATTCCTATTTTACAGATTCGGAATTGCGACCCATGTTCAGGTCGCACTTATTTCCAAAAATTGCATTGTTTATCACGCGTGCGTAGCTTGTCTATGTAGATAGTTCGTTTTTGTTAGATATTTATCTGAAATATGGCGTACCTATTCATTTCCTTGACATTATCATCTAATTATTTCCTTTTGAATATGTTTCCACCTATTTTGTTCACCAATTTTGAATCTCGTCGTGACGTCATTGATAACAAGATTAAAAGAGTTTTAAGAGTTGACAAGCATGCCATACGGAGACCTATAGCTGCTAACCATATACGTCATTTGGTCTCTGGTGGTGAGTTGTCGCTTTGACAACCATACCACATCTTCTTATCTTTATATAGAACATGTTTTACTTTGCAAACTACAAAAACTAATTTCGACCGCTTACAGGCTTTTGAATCAACAGCAAATCGTACGAATCGTGTTGGGCAAAGCTATCAAATCCTTTTCTACATTATTGGAAAAATATTTTTAAATTCTGTAAGAAATACAATTTTAATTTGGAGTATTTCAAAAGTAATATTTACACAGAAGTGCCGGTCAGAAAATATTTTCGAGTGTTAATAATTTCCACCACTGCACTTTATTTCTCATGAAGTTAGATATTGAAGTCATTAATCAATTTACCGAATTTGTCATTTCCATGGTTTTGCTGATCAATTAAGCCTTATTCAACTGATTTTTACAGTTTGTTCCTATTTTGTACTGTAATACCATTCCAAGACGAGGAGGAGGTTGAGCGCTTGCAAACATAGTTAGGTCAACACCGCCACATTCTGTATATGCGCCTGTCCAATGTCATAATCCTGTATTTCTATGGTTGTCGATGGTTTCTGTGCACCATACTTGTTTTTCGTTTATTGTTTTATAAATAAACCGAACGGTTTCGAAAGTGGGACAATCCTTTTAGAAAAAAATCTAGTTAACTCTTTCAGTTTGTTTTAATAGCATGCTTTATAATAAAAAAAATATTTACACATTAAGTGAAAATTACGAAATTTATCAATCAAATTAATTTTTTCAGTTTTTATAATAGTTCATCTTCATGATCTTGAGAGCTAATGTCTTCATTTTGCAATGGATTGTTCATGTTTTATTATCACATTAAATGATACGTTACATGAAAATTACGAAACTTATCAATCAAATTAAGTTTTTCAAGTTTTTTAATAGTTTTTCTTTATAGCTGATGTTTTGAATTTGCAATGGATAGTTCATGTTTTATTATTACATTAAATGATACATTACGTGACAATTACGAAACGTATCAATCAAATCAAAATTATTTTTAGTTTGTTATAATGGTTCATCTTCAGATCTTATGTTTTCAATTTGCAATGGATTGTTCATGTTTTATTATCACATTAAATGATATATTATGTGAAAATTACGAAATACTAAGATCAATGACAACATAAATTAATATATAACTTATCTATCCAAGTCATACATCAATGTATGTTGTTATTAATCTAAGTGTGGTGTCTGATATACCATAACGGTCTCTGTTCAGTTTTGTGACATTTTATTAGCTTAAAAGAATAACATTTACAATGATATATAGACCATTATTTTTTTTCTTCATTTGTAAAGCTTAGAAGTTGATACGATATTCCACAGCTTGCATTTCTTACCATGATTTGCTTGATGGATGGCTGCTGCTAACAGGAAGCAATCACACCAAGAGTTCAAAGTGTTGAAGTTAAAATCATAACTTCGAAAATGTTACGGACGGCATCACGAGTTAGTTGGCCGTTTGGGATATCTAATTCACAGAGAACGACGGATATTTTCCAATATTTGTTACCAATATAACGTCATTTTTTTTTCTGCGAACGTGATCTAACGAATCATACTTATCACCGGGTTTGTGATCATATGAGCTACACGACATGTGCCATATGTGGAGCAGTGTTTACCCTTCCGGCGCACCTGAGATCCCCCCAGTTTTTGTTGGGTTTGTGTTGCTTATTCTTTGGTTTCGATGTTGTGTTTGTGTTTGTATTTTTATTCAATTTGTATCTTTTAAATCTGGTCAGTTTCTCTGATAAATCCTGAAATTTATAATATACTTAGCAGTAAATATAGGTAGATATATGTCCAATACAATCAGTGACAATCGTACTGTATCAACCATCCGTAAAGATATTGATATCAGTCACGGTTGCAAAGGCTTAATCAATACTCTACTATATATGTAACACTCTCAAATGTGTCCATTCCCCCAAACGTGTCCAATTTCCCCAAACGTGTCTATTTTGCCCGAACGTGTCCTGAAAATCCCAAATCACCTAAACGTGTCTGATTTCACTTCCCCAAACGTGTCAAATAATTGTTGTTCGCCAAAACGTTTCCTCTTAAAAACGTAACAAGGTCTCAAAACTTTTATCGCTAATATGTCCTCAGCGACGTCAATAACGTTTACGGTATTTCACTGAAGAAACATAGACAAGAATAACTTTGCATGTTTCATAAGCATCCATGATA